GTGTGTGTGTGTGTGTGTGTGTGTGTGTGTGTGTGTGTGTGTGAAGGGCACAGTTAAAAAATGTTATGGACTCTTGTCACCATCTGATGAAGGTGAGCTTCAAAAATTGGAAGGAGTGTTCTTGGTGAAACACAGACGTTTGACTGCATATGTTCGCCTCTGTCTCACCTTCATTTATAAATGCCACTAAAACGTCAGTAAATTGATGAAAGAATACATTCATAAGGACAAGAGAACAGGGATGAGGAGTTGGTCTAGAATGAAAAAGATGCCAACCAATGTTTAAGGAAAAAAGTGCAAGTAAATGAATGATAAGACATTTAGCAGACTAACATGTAATGCAACAGCATGCCTGTAGGATTGGGTCGGGAGATACAGAGAGTAGCCAATGTAAATGATGTGACACAACACTGGGGAAATTCAGGAATTAGACATAGCAGTTGTCTTTGCCACTGGAAGAGAAATGTACACCTGAAAATATAACTGTTTGAAAGATTGTGAAAGGAGTATATGCATGCTCAGAACCTCTCCCTAAACCTCAATGACTTCTCACTACCCAGCCTAACAGAAAACCAGATTAACTTCTAGGAAAACTGAATGACAGAGGCTTTGACCATGAGGACAAAACATAGCAAAGTGTGGGAGAAGGCAAGAAGCTATAGTGGAAGTCTATTATAGTAAACAAATATTAGAACATTATTGAAAAAGTAGCATTGAGACAATGCATCTTTGATAAAGTAATATCTGTACGCCTATAAAGAAAACCAGTGAGTACAATTATTATTCAAGTGTATGCAGCAACCACTAAAGCCAATGATGAAGAAATTGAAGACTTCTGCCAACTCCTTCAGTCTGCAATTGATAAAAAATGTACAATAAGGATGAATTGATAATTACTGGTGATTACAATGTGAAAATTAGAATCAAAGGCTAGGAACCAGTAGTAGGAAAACACTGGTGGTCCCATGATAGAATTTTGCATTACCAAAAACTTTTTTTATCACAAATACTTTTTCCCCCCACAACAAATGGTAACTAT